TTTCCGAGAACAAGTTGATTTAAATTGAATTCTCCTCCCAACCGAGATTCGGAGGGCGTTCCAGATTTGGGTTACTTTCAAGAAAACTCTAGATTTTTGATAGCCATCTTGAGTCAATTCTGATATTCAGATCTCTTCATCTGAAGTTTTATCTTCAAAATGAGTCTAAGATTTCCAAAATCGGTTGACGTAAAAAAAAGTTATGGCTGCAAAACCAAAAAGATGATTTTTTGAGATCACCCTGTAAATAAGAGAGATAGGAAGTTGATTAGCGAAATATCTCGAGGTAATGACAACATCTTCATGCCCCTGTTGTCGAAGTTGAGAAAAAATTTTTTTTCACCATTTGAGAGCCTTTCGAATATTCCGAAATTTCGCACAGTGTCGAAAAACACTATGTAGAGGTTTTATGTGAATACCCTTAGGTTTCAATGAAGTACGAGATTATAGCTTAAGGACTGGGCTATCGAACAGTGTCCAAATTCAAATTGTTCTCAACTGAAAAAAGTTATTCACATTATAACAGAAGCGACATTTTGGTGTGCGACGAAATTAGTGTTGAGTAGTTTATGTTTGTTATCACAACAAATTATCTCAGTTGGGGCAATTACTCATTTCTTCTGACGTTAATAGTGAGTGTGTTATTGCAAATTGGATATTTGATTGTGGATGAAACGGAATCTAGTTACTATTGAAAGTGATTTAGTAACGTTTGAAATATAATTCAGTTATTCTGGCAGCTTAATATTTCTATATCAATTAAAATCAAGGCCCCATTCTGAGGATAACAGTTTGTATGCCATTCTCCTTCCAATTTCCAATGGAATCGTGAACAGAAATACACCACACACCGTGAGTGCCACAGGTCACAGCCCAGCAAAAAGAGAGGGAAATATACACCGTGTACACGTGACGTCGGATGGACGTTTCTCACCGTCGCCCGTCGTGAACTGAACTGAATTGTGAATAGGTACCTAGACTTGATAACTAGTGACGCACAGATATAACGATGGTAAACTGCGGATCATTATTTTGCCAACCAAATGCCAAATGGCTCAGCGCAAAGTGCAAAAAAACACAAAACAGTGATTTGAAAACACACAGAGCAGTGAACCAGCAAGAACACGACGCTTCCGGCTACACTAGACAATTATTTCATTCATTTTGTTTAAGCTCGACGACCGTGCGATCTACCCACTATCAAGATACAAGTTCAAATAATGAAACAGAAAGACAAACAGATGCAAGATGCAATTTTTGCCGGTGGGTCCCGAAGAGACGCGAGGCGGTCTCGAACGACGCAGTACAACTAAAATTATTAGTTATGGCTAAACAATTCCTGCTATGAATAATAATAAACCTTTCACGATAAATGTGTCATCAGTTGTGGCAAATAGTCAGCTGTTGTTAGTAACCCCAGAATGAGGTTTTTTAATTCCAATATAAAATTTTAACTGACTGAATAGACAACACTGTGATAATTCTGTCACAAATAGTATTTTTATTGATGACAAATAATTGGCGAAGAATAGAAAAGTCATTTGTAGGAAATAAGAATACGTTGTCATTGTTAATGAAATTCCAAATATTCTTAATTATCGGTACTAAAAAAATGCCAACTAGACGTTTCAATTAACCAGTTTTTCTCAGTGCATATTGGATCTGTCATCTCGAATTTTCTAATTTTGACACAAGAACCATAATCTCTGACCCCGAAAACTCCGTTCAGATAACAATTTTGAAAAGGGTAGGTCTATAATTACAAAACTCAGACACCATTTTGGATCCGCCATCCCAAAACTCCCAATTTCGAAATCAAAATCATAATATTCGACCCCGGGAACAGATTTTGGATAGAATCGGATCATCGTTACAAAACTCGTCTGCCCTATCGGATCCGCCATTTCAAACTTCCTAATTCTGACAAAGGAATTATGATCTCTCTGGCCCAGAAAACCCTCAGATACCAATGTTGAATGGAATCAGTCCATATAATTACATGACTCATTCGCCATATTGGATCTGCCATTTTGAAATTCACAATTTTGACATTGAAATCATAATCACCGACCATGAAAACTCTCAAATACAAATTTCAAATAGAGTCGCATAATCATAACTAAACTCGTCTGTCATATTGAATTCGACGTTTTGAACATTCCAATTTTGACAAAAGAATCATCATCTATGACCTTGGAGACTCCCAGATACAAATCTTGAACTGAATTGGATCTCAATTACAAAATTCCTCCGCCATATTGGATCTACCACCTTGAATTTCCAAATTTTGACGAAAGAGTTATAATCTTCGACCTCGAAAAACCTCAGATACCAATTTCAAATGAATAATCCTTACAGAACGATTCTCAGATCAACCGAAAAGATATGCACAACAATTTTTATAAAATACGGCAAAACCATCTTGAATTAGTTTGACAACAAACACCGTGACAGGGACAGGAAAATTTCATATGAATAGCTGAGTCGTGAACGTTTTGTTTTGCCATTAACATCATATTCAGAGAATATTTTTGTTTTTTTGTTAAATATTTGTCGATACACCCTCATTATTTTATTTTATTTACAGTTGGGCTATCCATGAAAGCAAGTACCATTAGTTTTTCAAGATAATGATTATCACCATGGCTGACCCGACAAACGTTGTTTCACTATACAGGGTGGTCCGGTTTGTAATACAAGAAATTCAACAGTGTATTGTATCCATTGAAATGATGGAAGAAGTTCATATAAATATATTATACTAACTTCTGAGCGCCTCGTTCTTGAGATATATGGTGTTGAAAATACGAGTTCGATCATTGATTTTTGTTGAAAAGTTCGAAACGGTTTGGGATAAATCAACAAAATTTTTCATAGATACAATCTTTTCGTGCTCTATAAGATGAAAAGAAAATTATGCCACGTCATATTTTGGTGGCGGCTAAATCTTGGGGTGATGGAGAAACAATTCATAAATTCTTATATGTGCATTTCTATCTCAATGTGTAGTTCGAAATCTGAACATACAAAGGTGGATAAGCTCACTCGTGAATTCCTGATGGGTTTCGCCCTTTTTCTGATTGAATCAGTTCAGTGATATTGCTACGGTTTCAGTTGAATAATAATATTTGATTGTAATCGAAACAAGAGTGCTATGATCACTGTTTCATTTCATAGAGCGTGAAAATTCCAGTGATCTTTCAGAAGAAGAGGATCCTTCTCATCTTGCTTTCATCTCTGGAATAGATCGGGATTGAGTATTGCCTCAACATGGAATGAATCTAGACGAAATTGTCGTATATTTCACGAAAAGTTATACATTGTGATGAAAACATTTGTACCTATATTCAAACGTACTAATTCAAAAATTACTCACTATTTCTCAAATACATTTCTGAAACTTGTGAAGGAAGAGTTGAGCGTGTATCTTGGGTGGAAAAACCAGATAATTCAAATAATTACAATTGATTTAGTGAACTAGTAAAAAAACTGAAGCTTCGAAAGGAGACCACGAGAATTTTGTTGAGAGTATTGAACCGGGAATCAGTGGTGACAGCTGAGTATTTCGCAAATCTATACCGAATAGAATAAGTTAATATGGTTATATACCGTCAACTTTGCCTTACAATAACGAAGATGCTAGTGGTGGGGTCGAAATTTGCAACATGTTCGCAAAATATTTCAACAGTTTTAATGATGCAAATCAATCTGTAATCCTCATCAATTCATTCGTGGATAACCTAACTGACACGAAACATCTCAATGAGTAAGATATAATGGAGATTGAACAGGGATGAGATATCAAAAAAGGACGCAGGACCAGATGGTTTTCCCCTATTTTTCCTAGGTACGCACTATATTCCTCCGACATAATATGGAAATTCTCTCTCGTACGCTCCTAGAAATAAAAAAACACTTCCTTTCAAGGTGAAATGATGGATCTCGATCAATAAGAGTACGCGATATTGAAAGAAAGACAAGCAATTCCCCAAGATTTCATGGATGGTTTGATAACTGGTGTGCCGAGAAGAATGAGGGGTGTCGTAGCTGCTAGAGGAGGTGCAACAACATATCGACAAATGACAGTAACAAATGAAGTGATGAGTTGTTATTTGAAGTTGGGTTTGTATAACAATGTGTTCCCTCTGAGTCAATTGAGAATATTGTGATGAATATTAATTACAATTCCTTGGTAGCATTTTCGCATATTTTCACATTCTACACCGCGTTTCAACGTATTCATTCAAACTTGGCAGTAGAGTTGGATTCAGGAATTCTTGAATTTTATGATATTTCGCATTCCACCTCCACTTCTGGTTTCATCAAAAATGACAACAGCTCTTGATATTCAAATGAAACACCGTGTATTTCAGTCCATCATCTGAATACCATGGCTCGTCAATGTCAAAGTCGAAAATCTCAAAGTCTTGCCGCATAGGTTGAAAAACTAGGGCCTGTTCAATCGAAGATATTCGAAAAAAAAAATAGGTGAAATATTTCAACAAACAGAGAAGTTTGCCTTACGAGAATACTTCAGCAGACTTACGATGTTCCATTCTCAATGTGGATTTCCAATCTCCACATCATCGGGAAAGAAAATATTATAACAAACGGCCAGGTGGCAGGAGAAGAAGAAGTTTATCCATCAATTCTACCAACTCTGACCCCAATTTGAATATATAATTATAATAATTGAAGAAACGATTTTTCATCGAAACTTTGACGCCCTGTATCTGGAAGACGAAAATCAGCTACATAGTTGAATGACACCCTGTATAACGCTGGAATATTTATGCGATTGAATATGGAACATGCAGCGTTTGAAATGCAGCAGTGATAGGACTGCCATATGGAATGTGTTGGTTTCAAGTGAGTCTGTGATTTTATTTGAGGTGGACATCAATTTTTGCTTTTTCTGGCCTGAAAATCATGGTGATAAGACATGAAACATTCGAGAATGCATCAGTGATAAAGCAGCAACATGTTCCGGTTATACTCACCTCTAATGATAACTCATTCACATGATAATAAATCACGAAAACTTGACCAACTATCATTGACAAAAAGCCAATATGAAATACAACATCTTTTACATTGGTTGCGCGCATCACCTGTAATTTGATTAGAAAAATCCATCAGATTCGAGAATTATCGCAAATGATAAACTTACGGTCAGAAGCGATACTGTTATATGATAAGATTTGAACAAGAATTCTGTGAAGAAGTACCATTTCAAAGATTCATTGGCATTTTCAACGTATCTGAAATTGAAAAAAATTTAATTAAAAATCGAGTGATTCTCACGCAATATTTTCAGAGTTCCTTACAAATAGTTCAAGGAAAGCAAGTTTCGAACAAAAATATTTCCAGATATATCATGAACTGGTTGAAAGTTGAAACATAAAGGGTCTTTCAACAAACACTTGATCACTCCTCTACCAGAAATTGCCAGTACCCGTCAAATTTCATGCTTGGAGGAGCAATTTCCACTATTGAACCAACTTGAATTGTTCATCTTCCTACCCCAACTATTGAATTTCAAATAGAACTACCCTACCCTAGCTAGCATTCACACGTCATATACGCGTTGTCAATTACGTCAAGATGACCAAATTATCGACATAAATGTGACGTCAATATGTCACATCGAAACGACGTCATTTAGCGACGTCGTTACAACGTCATTCAGCGACGTCGTCTACACATCGAATAGTCACTAAGCATCAGGTCCAGGTTCCGACTTCACAAAAAAACTGTGATCCTATTTCTTGATGGTTGGCAAAACAGTTCAAATGATCTAGTTATAATAGATATCTTTCATTTGTTCACATAATTAAACATAGGTATTCTCCATCTGATTGAAAGTAATAAGCATGAAATCCACTATATTCCATAGTATATAGACATAAACGAAGATGTCAAGTTTCAAAGGAATCTCAACCTAATAATCTCAAATTATTTTTGTACCTACGATTTGAGGTATTTTTAAATTACCTTCTTCAAATAAAGACCTCACTACATCAAACAACTTTCAAGTTGCAGTCATAGATTTTGCTTTCTCAATTATTGACCTGTTGGAAAAGTCTTGCTGTTTGAAAGGCGGCCAGCACACTTACGAGGCGTCATGGCGTCATAACTACTTTTACTGAACGGGAGCAATGCCTTTCCTCGGAATATTGTATTCCCACAAACATTTCTATTGCCTGGAATTGATAAAATAACCAACGAACTGCAATATATTTTGCTGAACCCCACTTTTTCATAGTATCCTTGTTTTCCATGACCCAAAATCACGAAACATTCGATGAACTGGATCACGCATGTGCATGATCACGACAAACTATCCTTCGATCGACGATGTTCGATAGGGATAGCGGTGGCATCGTGCGAAACGAGGACACACGAAGCCACGGAGCACCGATTGACCAATCATGAGCATCTGTATGTCTTGACGTGGCGCGCCAATATAAAACATGAAGGCACCTGGTATAACCGTATTTGTAAGTTTGTTTTTCATTGATATTTGTTCTACATATTTCACCACTTAGTGTTATCCATGTTGGGTGTACGTGAATCCTCTTCACTAAGGTAGGTACCTATTTCATTTTGATAAGCGTTCAATTATGAGTCCTGGATATGCAGTTCGTGGAGTAATTTCTTCGAAATGAAACAAAATGACTGGTGAAGATGTTGAGTCTGAATGACGTCGAATGACGTCTATCAGATACGTTTTTGAAACACGTCACAATGACGTAAATTATTGGTCGAATCTTGACGACGACCAATTGCCACCTATCATCCACGTCGATTCGACGGGAATTGACGTCACTCTGCTGGCTAGGACTACCAATAAATCATTTCGAAGCTCTTTCCAATGCGAATACTCTAGTGCATTATTTTTGAAAATCTCTAATACATCGAGAATGTGCATTATTCATCTGATGAGAATATAAATCCTTCATGCCACTATAATCCACAACGAACACACAATAAGGATTTGACAATGAGAATCAGAACGATGAGATTTGAATCAATGACTCACTCACACATGTTTCACTCAAGTGTGGGTTGCTTATAGCTGTGTGCACGTGTATATGAAAATAATTTTACAAATCTTTAATTTCGTGAAAATGATTCATTTAAAGTATTGTAACAGGGCGCTTGATGCTATTGAGCCGTAATCAGTGCATAGCTGTAAGTAATCAGCTTTTAGCTTTTGAAAGAAAATAGCCGGTAATGAACTTGACGCCCTGTATCTGGAAGACGAAAATCAGCTACATAGTTGAATGACACCCTGTATAACGCTGGAATATTTATGCGATTGAATATGGAACATGCAGCGTTTGAAATGCAGCAGTGATAGGACTGCCATATGGAATGTGTTGGTTTCAAGTGAGTCTGTGATTTTATTTGAGGTGGACATCAATTTTTGCTTTTTCTGGCCTGAACATCATTGTGATAAGACATGAAACATTCGAGAATGCATCAGTGATAAAGCAGCACCATGTTCCGGTTATACTCACCTCTAATGATAACTCATTCACATGATAATAAATCACGAAAACTTGACCAACTATCATTGACAAAACGCCAATATGAAATACAACATCTTTTACATTGGTTGCGCGCATCACCTGTAATTTGATTAGAAAAATCCATCAGATTCGAGAATTATCGCAAATGATAAACTTACGGTCAGAGGCGCTTATAGCTGTGTGCACGTGTATATGAAAATAATTTTACAAATCTTAAATTTCGTGAAAATGATTCATTTAAAGTATTGTAACAGAGCGCTTGATGCTATTGAGCCGTAATCAGTGCATAGCTGTAAGTAATCAGCTTTTAGCTTTTGAAAGGAAATAGCCGGTTATGAACTTGAAATTCGGAATTAGTAAAAGTGAGGTTACTTACTCATCAGGTTGAACAAAAATTTTCCATGATATATATTTAATCCTGTTTGATGGGAAATTTTCTATAGAAATATCTTTGGTCCTGTTAGGTATTGGAAACATTATTGCTAATCATGGTGCAAACCTATTAGAATTTTATATAAGTTCGTTCAAATAAATTGAGATACATTGTGAATTTTATTTTGTTTTTTCTCAAGCAGCCAACATGACTGAATGCATACTGTCGTGCCGAAGTGACTGAGGGGAGCAAAAATTCCGAAGTTGACATATAAAATGATTCACATGACGTGACATGTGTAATGTCACAGGAATTCTCGAAACATTTTTGACAATAATCATTATATGAACATTGTGAGAATTGGAAATGATTGGATAATCAGATCTCTAGAAAGCAATCATTTTACTGGTCTAATATAAACCCATCCAACAATTTTCTTAGCAATCTAGATGATCCAACTGTAACTTCAGTGACTAAATCAGGAGGAACTTCGTTGAGCCTTATGAGAGCTCATTTTGGTCGGTCCAGATGGAATCACCAGTTGAAGATCTATTCATCATACTATTCCAACAAAATGTTTCACTAACACAGTAGCTTCTTTAGGAGTGATGATTGTCTAATAAACTCAACTTACATTGACTCCTCTGATTTTCATATTCTTCTCCCTAAAGTGAAGGATTCAATTACCTGTGCAACGCTCGTATACCCTTTATTCAAGTTGTCCATCTAACCACCAGCAACAACCATCAGAATTATAGAACTTCAACCTATTTCGGATCATCAACTGAAAAATTAACTTCATTTCTACATAGACCATATGGGACACCTTGAAGGTGATATGTTCGAGTGACTTCCGTATGTTTTGTGGCCTCAAAAGTGAGAGACCTATAGTTGAAGTGAGACCTCGAGACCTTAGAATTTGATCGAATTACCTCCGTGTCTGTGTGAGACCTTGGAAGTAAGCGACCTCGAGTCATAGAGGGACTCTGACCCCGAAGAGGGGTTGACCGAGTGACCTACATGTATGATCTTGAGAAAAAGCGACTTCGAATTGTAGAAGAACTCCGACCTTGAAGTAAAGTTGCATCGTGTGCGACATTGAAATAATATCAATGATATTCGCGGTTTCCACTGTCACCATCTGATGAAACGATGACGATAATACTTTCAATCTAAACCAGGAGTGAGGAATGTTTTTCCCTAGTTTCAACGTCATCGCAACGTAGATAATGACCTTGGGAACCGCGAATAATGATGAGATATACTCGCTTCGATAGACTGGTAATATGGGGTGTGATACTTTTCACACATTTTTTCCACTCAACAAAGAGAAGATTATGATGGCAGTTCCTGACATTGATATCATCACCCAAGTGCCGTCATTTGATATTTTCTCAGAATTTTTCGATCGATTCTCAGGTGCTGAAATCATCAATGATGCAGCCACCTCATCAGCAGGACAACCGTCCTCATATTCCAGTGAATATAGGAGATACCCAGTTCACAGTCTTGATTGATACTGACGCTACTCAGTCGTTTACCAGCATGGCAGTTGCCGAATGCTGCGAACGTTTTGGCGCACTGAAACGCCCACTCACAGTGGCCCAGTCCTCTCAAGCCGATGGATCCCTTGCACAGATTACAGGAAGTTGTAAACCCTGGATGACGATAGGCACAGTGTGCCTATCCATAGAACTTTTGGTTCTCCTGAGTTTGTCTGCCGATATGGTGTTGGGCATGGACGTTCTTCGTACCCAGGGCTTTAGTATCGACCTGTCGCATGCCACGGTGTACCGGAATCAGAAGAACGTGTCAGTTCTTGGTTCCCAGGAAAGTCATATAGTAGTATCAGCACCCAAAAATACTGCAGTAACACAAACTCCAGCACCATACTGAAATTCAGCAATGCCCCACCCCTCCTGTAATCCTGATTCCCGACGAATTCCAAAAACATCCAGAAGTCCAGACACTATTTCCCAAGCAACATCCAGTGAGTCCAGAACCTATGGAATTCAGACAAATCATAAACATCTAGTCTTCCAGAAACATCAAGAAGTCCAGATACTATTCACCAAGCAAAATCCAGTAAGTCCAGAACCTATAGAAGTCCAGACAGAAGATCAACTCCACACAGCTCCAGCAATCTAGTACACATGAACCAAAATCCCGTACATCCAGATAATGGGTGGATTTCCATCAGGACCGTTAGCCTTATTCGTTTTGAGACCAAGCAAAATTCGTCTGATAGTGCGTTGACGGAAA